AAAAAAAGAAAAAAGAGAGAGATGTTGAGTTCAGGTTTTTATCATGAGCTAATCCAATAGGCTACTCGAAACAATGATCGGCACTGCTCATCGTGTTTTGCACTCATCATGATCTATATGTAGAAAAAACTATCTTGTCATTATTTTAGTTATGTGTAGAAGGGACGACTGCTAAACTGACTTAAAAATTAACATATTAAATAGTTTGATTCATATTGTAGAAGACTCCAAATTATGTAAATATTTTACCATATATATTTAATGACGTGTTGAACAAGATTTACGGTACCGATCATGAATTTGATGACCCGATTAGTCTAGCTAACCATAAGATTTGAGCTCAGCATCTCATAATATCGTTACTACACACGCCGACACACAACCAACAATTTACAAAAATTAGAGTCACTTTTAGCTCAACAAACTAGAAATATGATCATTTTCATTTTACTCTTCCACTATTATCTTTTTTATTGCAGAAACAAGTTGTTTTTCATAGGCAAGCTAAGATGGTTTCATTTCCACAGTTGCATGAAAATTCAGCCATGATTGTAATTTTAAATGCCCGCCAATTAACAGTCAAATTTGTAGCAAGACCTTGATTCAATAATTGTTTTTTCCCCTAGTTGTATTTCTTGCGTTCATTTTAGTGCTGTAAAAAGAAGAGTATTTTTCTCCAAAATTTGGGCCCAATTCCAAGTTATGTAAGAAGTTTTGCATGGCCCGTCCGTTTTGTCCTCTATCCATAACTGAATCTTCACCATGCCCTGCTTTCAAATATTATTATCATTATCATTCATCAACAATGATGTAATAACCTCAGTCTGGACAGCAGTATGAATACATTTTGGCACATGCTATTAACATGCTTGGTTCAGAAAAGACATGAAAGGATAAGATCTTGTAGATAGCGATGCTTCCTCTTTACAGAAGATGCATGAATTCAGTGCTTCAGAAAACGTTGTCATTAGTGATACATCTCAGCACATGATTCTGTTCAAAGTTTTATAGACAGATCTGGACTTCAAACATTAATGGGTTCTATGTCCATTAGTAGATTCTGATAAGCATGTACAAAATTTTACACGTGTTGGGCACAGGTAGCCTAGGCTACAACAGAATCAGGCACAAATCTAGAGTTTTATCATCTAACAAAAATCAGCATAACGTGCTAACATGTTGTGTCATAGAAATAAGTGTTGATTAATATTCAAATGATTAATATTCAAATGGTTGAAGCTTATCTCAAGCAGACCGCATCCAAAGCCGACCCAGACAGGCCGAGCAAAGCGTCCATTCTCGCCAGGCCGAGACAGCGCCCCTTCTCGTCTGCCCGACTCGTCCATTCTCGCCAGGCCGAGACATGCGCCGCTTCTCGTCTACCCGACTCGTCCATTCTCACCAGTCGAAAGACGGTCATCCTTGAGCCCTCCGCCAAAGGCCATTCACTATCATATTAAATGCATGGTTAGAAATCATCATTGCTCCAGTTCCAAAAAATCTTTATGACTCATCATGCTTCATCAGCACCATGCTTCCTCTATTATCATCACATTGATCACAAGGGTGACTCATGTCACCCACAACCGACACCTGTAAAGTAACTGTTGACTAAGCAATCTACTTTGACTTGGCCGAAATAACAAAATTACCCCTCTGAACCTACTATAAATAGAGAGACTGTTTGTGGCACATAGACATGCAATTTCTGCACACTTAGACTGAGAATTCATTCAGTTCATTTGTTTCTTCTGCACTTAAGCTCAAATATTGTCTTGATTGTCGGAGGAATCACCAATAAACTCAACTCCGGTCCTCTAACATGTTACAGTTTTATAGAAAGCTCAGCATTCTAGTGGGGGTTCAGTCATCAAAGGAGGTTAATGGACCCCAACATCTTCAAGATCATCCTCAAATTCCCCTGTTCGATAACTGACAATAACAGTCTGGCGTCCACCGTGGGTGCTCATCATCTCTATTTGATGAAGTGGTCGATCCCTCATCTTCGAACCTCAGAATTAGGATCTGAGACATGTCTCAAGCAGACTGCACCATAGCTCGACCCAATCAGGTGAAGACAAGCTTCCCTTCCCAGCCAGGCTAAGGCATACATCTCTTACAGCCAAGGCAGTCAAGAACTTTTACCCAATATTAAATGAAGAGTACGACTAAATAACATGCAGCTTTGTCAGGAAACGCAAAACATTTCGGAGGATACCTCCTCAAAATGTAGTCAAACTAAGATACATATATAAGAGATATTTTGTATTGTGTACTAACCTATATGCAGTCTTAGCCACTCGATCTTCATCGATTCAGCGATAAAAATGAAAGACATTGGCATCATTTTCATGCATAAGCCCGAGGAACGTACCAAAGATTTGACATCGTTTTCGTAAGCAAGACCAATGCACGTCATCAACTCGGTCGATTCCGACTCAAAAGACCTTAACATCAGTTTCTTGAGTAAGACTAAGACACGTCATCAACTCGGTCGTCTACGACTCCAAAGACATTGTCATCATTTTCATGAGCAAGACCAACGCAAATTATCAACTCGGTCGACTCCGATACCAAGACTTTGGTAGATATTCAGGGTAAAAACAAGGCACGTCATCAACAAAAAGACCTTAATACCTTTTCAGGGTAAAACCAAAACACATCAACTTAATTTACTTTGACAAAAAAGACCTTGACATCTTTCTAAGCCCAAGACCTTGGTGTCATCGAGAATAAACCCAAGGCATGAGGTCGAGTAGCACTGCTCCCCACACACGGAGCCGAGTCGTCTCGACCTGAAGAATTGACTGGTATTCAAAGGTACGCGATTCATATTAACAAAAATAATAATATTTCTATCTGAAAATGTCTACAGCGTAGAAAGTGCCGAACAAGCAAATTCTTAGACCTTAATGCCTTCATAAGCCCCAAGCACACATCCCAAGACTTTAGTGTCATCAGGAGTAAACCCACGGCACAATGTCGATGTATCACTAGTACAAAGGCACTGAGTTCAATTTCACTCGGACTTGGCTGACCGACAGTTGTGTCATAGAAAGGAGCCAGTGTTGTGCCATAGAAATAAATGTTAATCAATATTCAATTGGCTGAAGCTTGTCTCAACCAGACTGCACCATAAGTCAACTCAGACAGGCCGAGCAACGCGTCCCTTCTCGCTAGGCCGAGACATGCATCCCTTTTCGCCTGGCCGACTCGTCCCTTCTCGCCAGGCCTAGTCGAAAGGCGGTCATCCTCGAGCCTCCCGCCAACAGCCAATCACCATCATATTAAATGCACTGTTAGAAATTATCATTGCTTCAGCCTAAAAAGTCTTTATAACTCATCAGGCTTCGTCAACACCATGCTTCCTCTGTCACCATCGCATTAATCATAAGGGTAACTTATGCCACACACAGCCAACACATATAAATTAACTGCTAACTAATCATTCTACTTGGACTCGGACGAAATTACAAAATTGCCTCTCTGAACCTACTATAAATAAAGGGACTGTCTGCAGTACATAGATTTGCAATTTCTGCACATTTAGACTGAGAATTTATTCAGTTCATTGGTTTCGTCTCCACTCAAGCTTATATATTGACTAGATCGTCGGAGGAATCACCGGAGAACCCAACTTCGATCCTCTAACGTGTTGCAGTTTCATAGGAAGCTTAGCATTCTATTAGGGAATCAACCATCAAAGGAGGTTAAGGGACCCCAACCTCTTCAAAAACATCATCAAATTCCCCTATTCGATAACTGTCATCAATGTAACATAATTGTCAAAGTTACTTATCACAACCCTAAATCTCCCATCATGTTGAGAGTTATAATTTTATATTCTAACGTGTATCTTAAACATCCTCTCAAAGTCCAACTCAGGAAGTGGAAAGTTTTTAAATATTTTTCGAAACTTGCGGCCAGTGAGAGTAGAATCTAGATGGCTTTGATATCATATCAAAGGTCCTGTAGGCTGTCTAAAAATTACTGCATATAGTTAATCCTCATAAAACACTGATGATGAAAGTTATAACCTGACGACTTTCACAAAAATAGACAAGAGTTATAAATTGACGACTCTCATATTTCCAAGAACCAAATATAAGGATTACAAGCTTATGATCCTTATAAAATTCAAAAAAAGAGATTACAATTGACGATCTCTTCAAGGCCAAACGCGAGAGTCCACCCTCGCATTCCTAATTCCAAATGCGAGGGTCCACCATCGCGTTCGTTCCAAACTCCAAACGCGGGGGGTCACCCTCGCGTTTCAAAAGCCAAACGCGAGGGTCCACCATCGCGTATTGAAGCTAGAATGCGGACGTCGCGTTTGACCATTTCAAATTACTTGAATGGTTACCCACTTAATGGGGTGATTAAGCCCTCATTATGGAGCAAATTAAGGGGTCAGTTACACCTCTTAAACCCTATAAATAGCTAGTTTTATAGCTGAAAAAGGGGTTGGAGCTTTTTGGATCATTTGTTGGCTTTTAGATCATCTTTGGTTAATTATCTTGGAGATCGACTATTGCCTTAGAGAGAAAAATCGTTGGTTTGTTTCGGTTAAAAGAATTGAAATTCCTTTCTGAAATTAACTCTCTTGCAGAGTTTTTAAACTCGCCCAGAGTTATAAACTTGCTTTGCAAGTTTCTCCAACACGTTAAGTCAAGAAGCGAAGACGAAGTTCTACGAAGCGAAGTGTTTGGATCGTCAACATGATATAAGAATCAAACTCCCATCGCCATCAAGAAGAATCCAGTCTTAAACAAAGAGAGGGGTCTTTCCTTCTCTCTTTGGTAAATCGGGGAATCGATAAAGAAGATTGTAATTTCTTTTTTTAAATCAGTTAGAAAGAGATTGTAAAGAGGGATTGTATTCATTTTTTTTCCCTAAGTTAGGAGGATTAATAACAATTGTTCTGGTTTCTTCTTCAATATTTTCCCGCAAACAGGTCCCTGATACTATATTTTGACAATAACATCCAGGGTGCTCTTAGATACATCAAAATGTTTGTTTTTACCAACATTGTGTTTTCTTCTCCTTTGTGATTTCCATCACATCTACCAGAGTTAAATCAATTGACAAGTTGTACAAAAAGTGCACGTTCCAATTTTCACCCAGTAAAACATAAAAAAAAAAACAATACCCTCTACTGAAACCCAGATAGCAATTTTGTGAGGTCTATATAGGTAGAATGGTTCAGGATTTAAATATAAAAACTCTTCTCCCACCTTCATATATGAACTATAACTATTCTTTTCAACCTCGAGTCATTCTTAGCCTTCGAAAACCGCGATGTTTAAGGAGTTGGTGGCTTGAATAGCATGCCCATATCCTGTATCTGTCAACATTCTAGAATCTGAACAAGTTCATGTTACAACAACTCGAGGCAACAACGACTCCTTATATATGGGCAACTTACAGGTAAATAATGGGCCTCCACTTACCCATTTAAGGCTGACATCTAGAAGGGGGAAAAGGAAAGACAGAGGCCTGAAATGTTGTCATATGAGGTTTCATTGTGTGTTGAAGAAAGCAATCGAAAATGTCATCATCTCAGAGATTTCATTGTGCGTTGAAGCAAGCAACCAGAATGAGTTGGATAAAAGAAGCACCGAAGCTGTTAAAATCAAAATATAGCACCTGAATCAGTCTTGTAATTCACTAGTAACAAGTTTGACGGCTTTGCTCACCTAGAGCTCAACAAAGACACAATAACGCGATGTAGCAAATTCTGAGTACAGAAATCACAAGTAACTTTCATGTTTTCTTTAGCTTAAGTTGTCGGCCATGCTTCTGGCTTCTGATTCTTAATCAAGATTTCTATACCCTGCAGAGAACGTCTTAAATGTCCATTAACACGAAATTTTCATTTAATTTACACAATGGTTATAAACCAAATATTTGTTTAGATTGGTATGAGCCTCTCTTTAAGTATCTGAAAAAGAAAACGGATACTACCAGACTATTATGTCATCCTAAAAAAATAAGAACGATTAGTCACATTATATCCAACATTGGTCACTGTCTCAGAGTATGACATGCATCAACAAAGAATAAGATATATATATATAGATATGGAAGAGGCATTAATTCTCCAAGAAGATAACTAGTTCTGTTCACCTACTAAAGTATGACAAGCTGCGAAATTTGATGATACATCTTCACCATCATTCGATTTGTAATGAACTCACAAAAAAGACCTATGAATGATGTCAAATATAATGCTCATTAACGAAGAAATAGCAGCGTAATCTCTTCACTTATACTCCCCAAACAATATTAATGGTGTTACAGAGTAAGGGGGATCATCTTATTGTCAGAACCATGAGCATTTCATAGGTTCAAAACTTACATATGCTACTTGCTGTCAAACAACTTCCGGGCAACAGATTAATAGTAGACTATTACCATTTTTTCGCCTGATAACCAACCATTAGTTTTTTTAACTACATCTTCAATGCCGGGACTTCATTAATTCACCAACTAGACGTTATGATGAATCATTGACTGATGCTTGATTGTGTGCAAAACAAAACTCAAAAACTTCCATCTTCTATGTATTGGACATTAGGTCCTAAACAATCACTACTATTGTACTCAGGTCCGCCTATATCTTTGCAACTAGATAAGCTGTACCTAAGCATATCTGAACACCTATGAGCTGCAAACTCGCGAAGATCACTGTGTCATCCATTATTAATATCGTGCCTAGAATCATTGCTGTACATGAGACTTGCTGGCTTAGGAAGTTATCTAGAAGTCATTTTGAATAGGTTTTGACCAATTTCAACCCAAACAGTCGATCCATCGAGTATTAGACCCCCAATCACATATCAACTACTGGGTTCACTAGTATTCTTCCAATTTAGAGACCAAACTAGTACCCATTTCTGTAATATCATTGCCTGCTGTAAGTTAGGTGCTTTGCCTCTCAATAGCATTAAGACAAGTACCTAAAAAATATTGGAATAAACCTCTGAAGATCCACCTACTAACTATAATTGGCTAGCAAAATTTCTTGCACGTATCTTTTAGTTGGTTATCCATTATAAATTCGTCACCGAAGGAAAGACTGCCAAAGCAGCCATGGCGGATCCAGAAAAACTTTCTTTAATTCCTTCTTCTCAGTAATTTATCACGTAAGGAAGCAATGCCAAGCAACAATAGTAAAATTCTAGCTGATCTATCATACAGCATCCTAGCTTATCTCAGTTGGGCTAGTTGCACACTAACTAATTCCACATGTAAACCTCAACATATTCATCCGAATCAAATAACCATTGAAATCTCTTGATAGCAGAAAAATTGCTTCAGAAACATACAAATTCGCTTTAACTTCTACACTCATTAAACTGACTGATAAATGAAGATATATTTTCTTTGTATCACCCCCTTTGTGCAGGTTGTAATTGTTCACGACTTTAATGTTAAAGAGAGCAACTTGCTTTTCATTTACTGAAATGAGTCGGTGCCCAAATGCATCGTGCATCAAAATACAACTTGGTTGTTCCTTATAGATGATTCTGGATAATAGAGTTTAGGGTTAATTGCGAATAGATCCCCTGTAGTTCTATTTTTGCGAATATACCCCCCGAGTGAAAAAAATTTTGCTCTTAAAATTGTTAAAAAGGTTGAGGAGGCTGGTAGACTCCCAATAATTTTATTGGTGAGGATAGACCCTCAATTGCTAATTTTTCTTTCTAATTTTTTAAAAGAGTCGAAAAAGTTCACTAAATGGGTGTTTTTGCACCTACGCCAATTCTATAAGGGGTGCCTCCGCCACAAATAGAGCTAAGGGGTTCTATTCGCAATTGAGTGATACTAAGGGGTTCTATTTGCAATTAACCCTAGACTTTAATGCCCTGTTTGGATGGAGGGTAGAGAGGGGGAGGGGAAGAGAAATGCAGCTTTCACCTTGTTTGGGAGTTTTTTTAAGGAGGATAGAGAGGAAGGTAAAGGAGGGTAAAGGGGTGTATTGACATTCTTACCCCCATCAAAACAAATAAAAGGGCTGATGTGTTATTAGTATAAAGTCATTTATGTAAATTTACATATATTTACTTCCTTTCACCTTCATTCGCATTATTCAACTCCCAAACAACATATTACAATTCTCTTCCCTTCCCTTCCCGTTGTTTACCTTCTCTTCCCTTCCCTTAGAGCCTGTTTGGATTTGTAGGGGGTGAAGGGAAGTTAAGGGACACTAGGTGAGAGAATGAAAGGGAAGGGAAGGGAGTTCCCTTCCCCTTGGTTACACCCCAATTTGAAGGGTAACAAATTTTATACTATTAGGGGGTGAACCAAGGGGAACTTGGGTGAATAACTTCACCTCCTAAATGTTTCCAAACAAGGTGAATGGAGGTGAATGTTTTCCCTAACTTCCCTTCACCCTTATTTCCCTCAATCCAAACAAGCCCTTAGTAAACTCCCAAACACACCATAATAGACACGCGTAAACATGACCACCACATTTTGTACTGAAAATAATGGCACCAAATGGAGCTAGGGCTTCCTCCTCCTCCTCCTCCTCCTCATCATCATCATCCTCCTCATCCTCTTCTTCTTCTTCTTCTTCTTGTTTTTTTCCCCTTATGAGAAATTAATCCATAGCAACTGCACCTAGAGGTTAAAAAGTTGCTCATAGATGCTATGGGTAAATCTAGAGAGAACAAGCGTCTTTGCTAAGAAATATTGACATTGTTTTGGCGTCAGAGTTCCCAAACCCCAATTGCTACATGTTGCCCTAATAATTTAAACCGACGCATGAAGATGAACAAACCTCGAATTCATCACTGATAATGAAGCCTTAAAGCTCCGCAATTTGAATCCTGATGTATGATAATGAGAATTTTAATTATAAAATGAAGAACAATAAAATATCTAAATATATGAAATCAGAAAAGGAAAAAGGTGTTAAAGGATCAAAAGAAAAGACAATGAAGAGAAGTGATCAGATTAATCTAACCGCAAAATTAGTCCTTTTAAACCGAATTTCGTTGGGAGAAGCAAAATCGTATATTCCTTACTTTCACTTGTCTCCAGCAATCAACATCCCCGCTCACCAAGCAGAATAATGAGACCTCACTGACCCATAAAGGTCTCGGCATTTGCTCCTTATATTCTAAAACTTATACCTTTCAATTTTAATATCCTAATTTTTTTAATACTTTGATACCCTAATTTTTATTTTAACTTTGATATCGTAAATTTTTTCTGGCACCTTTTCGACAAAGTTTATACCTTCTTAATTTTGATATCCTAAGTTCTATTTTTGCCACTTTAACACTGTTATGGTGTTCTCATTCGTTAAAGTGCAAAGTCATTGCCAAGCTACGGACAAGTGTTATGCATGTTAGGCCACAATCAACTTGGCGGTCAGAGACCAGTAGGGACGAATGCTCAGCCGACTCGAGGGCTCGACGTTCTCTAATGTTGACTCGAAAGGCGGAACATGTCGCCCCTCTTTGTCGAAGACGACTCACCCCGAGTTCACTCGACCGTTTCTCTAACGCATTGCGAAGCCGACTCGAAAGGCGTTACATCTCGACGAAGACAAAGGATATCAACTCCTTCAAGCTTATCCTCACCGACAACACGTCCCTATCGCATTTAATGAATATCAGGCGGAACATGTATCTGGCCTCGATAGCCTTCATGACTCATCGGACCACTTAGGCTCTATCATAATGCCGTCAGTCGCTTCCCATTCAATGTCGAAGTGATCACTCCCCTAGTTGTCAGCCGACACCTGTAAAGCAAAGGTTGACTCAGCCGTTAGCCCATGCTCTACCATGCAGCCAGTCGCTTCCCACTTGATACCGAAGTGACCTCTTTTTCAGTCGCCAACCGACACCTATTAAGCAGAGGTTGACTCAGCTGTCAGCCTACGCTTCGCCACCACCTCCTGCGCTCGGCCGAAGTGACGAACCTGCCCTTATATCCTAGGTATAAATACATGTACTATCTAATATTCAAAGAGAATGTGAGGGGTGCGGAGGTGGTGCGGTGGGGGCTGAGGATCACAAGGGTTCACAAATCTGATATTCTAACACAAAACACTGCCCAATTGTAAGAACTCTCACAGTTCTTATTTCCCCACACTCAAGTTCATCAATTAACTTGATCGTTGGAGGTATAACGGGGTGAACCAATCCTCATCCTCTCACGAATTTCTACATGTGCATATTTTTCAGCTACATCACTCAAGAAACAGACATAAAGTCAGAGAAGAAAGCGCCCCCCTCATCAACCTGAACAACTCATCTGAATTCAGACATATACTGATCGTGTGATCATTTAACATCAATAGACACCCTGAACTTTATGGTATCTGGGTTTAGAAAAATATAATTTTAGGTATTGTAGTTCGAAAATATGGAATCTTTGAGGTAAAAGAGTTAAAAATGTATTACCTTAAAAAAAATTAAGGTATCAAAGTTAAAAAAGGTAAAAGCTTTGGTGTATCAAAATATCAACAACAAAAAAACTTAGGGTATCGAAGTATTAAAAAATGTAAACTTTAGAGTGCTAAATTGCAAATAACCCTTAAAAATGTTAGCTGAGAGTATGTTGATCACCGATGGACCAAATTGCAATGGCCCTATGATTTGAGGGACTAGTGGCGAATTCAGAGATGTGAGGGACTAACATATAAATAACCCAATTTTCGTAACTATTGAGTCCGGATTGGATTCGTCGCCTTGCATCGTTATCAGCCTTAGGGTATCTCCAACGCAGCGACAAAATGTCGCTGCGTTGAATTGTTCGAGCTCCAACCGTGTCGCATTTTTTTGCGGCACTTTGGAGGAGGTGAACAGTGTGATGCCAAATATAACGCCGTACTGTTCATCCGTGTTATTACTGTGCATTGTTTTAAAAAAAAATTAATATTTATTTTTTACCTCTTAATTAATATAAAAGTAGATAAAAGGGAATAAACTGAGAATATTCTGAGAATATTTTTTTGGTACAAAAAATGGTACAATGGATTGGAGATGTATTACTGTTTGATATGATTTTTGCGCTATTTTGATGCAAAATTTATACCAATTTGATGCAATGGGTGGGAGATGGTCTTAAAATAGAGCTCCTTTTCCTCCGAAAACAAAAATAGCCCAAGATAATGGCCTATGGGCCTCCGCTCGCAATTATCCGCACCTCCTTTCTCAAAGAATCAGCCCTCACAATTTTTGAATAAAAAAAGGAAAAAAAAAGGACGTTCCGTCACCTTTCTCCCAGAGCCAAGCCTGAAGCCTCACAAGTTCTTGAATTAAAAAACGCCATTCCAAACCCAAGCGCATAATGACAAATCCTTCTTTACCGTTTCAAGCACAGCTGCATGTCTGTCTCTTCTCGAAAACGGACGTCTCACCGCCCAGCTGGACCTAGAACTGGGACCCAAAAGCCAAAAACCGCACGGTGGTGGGTCCCGTCTCTTTTCCGGACTCGAGAGGCGTTTCTCAACTTGATTTCAGAAAAACGTTTCCACGTCCGCTACACGCTACGTCAATTCGTCCGTTTGCTCCTTTCCTCCCTCTGACGGCCTCGAGCTCAGCGCGAGAAACGACGGAACGGGAATATTACGGGGGCATACTGGGAACACAGGAGAAACATCACGAAGAAGGAGGAGGCGCATTTTGGGAAGACTGGGCAAGATTTTCGAAACCGGTTCTTTTTCTGGGAGCTTCAATGGAGGGAAGAAGTCTCATGGTTGCGGTTCCTTTACTCATTCTCACTCTCTTCAGTGGTCAGTACTGTAAAAATTTCTCCTTTTTAACTTCAACGCCACTCTTAGCTCTGTTCTGAGTGTGAAGGAGCCCTTTTTACTGAGTATCTGCTTTGAAGACCTCAGAGTTTTATGGGTTTTCGATCGCTTTGTAGGCATTTTCCTACTTGTTTACAGTATGACTTAGATACCCAAGAAGGGTATGGACTTTTGTTTGCATCAAAATTGAATCTTTTGTGGCCTGTTCCGATAAATTTGTCCCATTTCCTTAGTTTGAACACACTCGGGCTATTACTTGCTTTATTAATCAGACAATTTAGGAGTAGTCAGTATTAATGAGCTATTAATCCCCGTTATGACCAGTACAGCTATATCGGTTCATAAAACTAGTCATTTACTGTGCAGTTATTACGATTTCAACCTTTAAATTACAGCATTTGCCATTAATTTCTTGTTGCAGAGCTCTGCAATGGAGGTTATGTTGGAGTTTGCTACGGGAGAAATGCCGATGATCTCCCAACCCCCGACAAAGTTGCTCAGTTGGTAAAGCTCCACGACATCAAATATGTAAGGATTTATGACTCCAACATTCAAGTCCTCAAAGCCTTTGCTAACACCGGAGTTGAACTCATGATCGGTGTCCCCAACTCCGATCTGCTCGCATTTTCTCAATATCAATCGAATGTTGATACTTGGCTTAAAAACAGCATTCTCCCCTATTATCCTGCAACTATGATCACTCACGTAACTGTAGGCGCTGAAGTCACTGAAAGCTCTGATAACGTCACTTCCTTAGTTGTCCCTGCAATGGTTAAAGTTCACTATGCATTGAAAAAGGTTGGGTTGCATAAAAGGATCAAAGTTTCAAGTACGCATTCACTCGGGGTGATGTCTCGTTCATTTCCACCGTCAGCTGGTGCTTTTAATAGCAAATATGCTTCATTTCTAAAGCCCTTATTGGAATTTCTTGTAGAGAATCAATCCCCATTCATGGTGGATCTCTATCCTTACTATGCCTATAGAGATTCTTCGAGCAATGTGTCATTAGATTACGCACTATTTTCATCTACTCAAGGTGTTATTGACCCAAATACTGGTTTGGTTTATACTAATATGTATGATGCTCAATTGGATGCTATATATTTCGCGTTAATGGGACTGAATTACAAGACTCTGAAGATTATGGTTACTGAATCTGGCTGGCCTAATAAAGGATCACCAAAAGAAACTGCTGCAACTCCTGATAATGCTCAAACCTACAATACAAATTTAATTCGCCATGTAATTAATGATACTGGGACACCAGCTAAGCCAGGAGAAGAAATCGATGTCTACATATTTTCATTGTTCAATGAAAATAGAAAACCCGGGTTGGACTCAGAGAGAAACTGGGGATTATTCTATCCGGATCAAACGAGTATCTATAGTCTTGATTTGACTGGTAGAGGAAATGTGGATGTTGTTACTGGAGAAAATGTTACAAGTACAAACGGGACTTGGTGTATTGCTTCGAGTAATGCTTCAGAGTTGGATTTGCAAAGTGCTTTGAATTGGGCTTGTGGGCCCGGAAATGTTGATTGTTCAGCGATTCAGCCTAGTCAGCCTTGTTATCAACCGGATACTTTGATTTCTCATGCTTCGTTTGCTTTTAATAGCTATTATCAGCAGAATGGAGCTACTGATGTTGCTTGTAGCTTTGGTGGTGCAGGGATGAGAACTGATAAAAACCCAAGTGAGTTTAATTTTCTTTAGTATGTTACTCAATTGCTAGCGTATGCATACTTGGAAAATCTAAGTTTCTTTGTGAAGTAAACTTATGGTATTCTTTCGCATGGTTCCAAATTTTATGACATTGTGATATCAAACACATTAATGCAGTTTCATGTTCGCATTCGCTATGGATTTAATGCATATGAAGATGACCATATGTGGGTTGGTGTTGCTAGATGTGTGTAAAACTTTTATGATCATTACTCTATAGGTAGCACAAACGTTAGAAATTAGAAAACCACTTGATGCAGCATATAAGCATTTCTTTTACTCATTTTATATATCTAGCTTTTAATACTGAGACATCTTGGCCTTTTCACAACAAATTTGCTTTTAGATAAGGAACTGGATGTCCAAAATAGATTCCAGATTCATTGTACACGTAGCTCTATTTTCAATTACTTGTCTAGTGGTAATCAATGTAAAAATAAACTTTTTAATTTCAAAAAATATTATACATTAGGCTAACTTAGGATATAGATGTTGATTACCATGGGCTTTCTTAAACTCTCTTTTCATATAGAGCTCTGGAAAAACATCTGAACTTTTGTGTGGACTCTGGACACTCTTCAACCATTTACACTAGTGTAAATTAGTTGGAGCAGTTACAATAATTATCTACTAATTGAGTGCACAAACTTTTCCATATCCTCTATGAAACCAATGAGCATTTGTTTTTGACTGGATGCTAGTTTTGATGTAGAACACATTGCAGATATATTCATGAAGAAACTGGACCGTACGTCGGAATTGGACGAATTATATATGAAAATCTCGTATTTTTATATATAATTTTTCATATATAATTCGTCCAATTCCGACGTACGGCTTGGGAGATACAATCCGTTCTTCGTTGCAAGTTATTTTCTTTTGCCGGGTCCGCATTTGATCTTATGATTGTCCAGTTTCTCGATGAATATATCTGTCGTGTGTTCTACATCAAGTTTGGTGTCAATTTCATACGAATTGGTGTTAAAATATTGATTACATCATTTAGCTGGATAAGGATGGAAGCCTATTGAGTAATCTGTTCAACACAGAAGTACGAAACCTTCACATGTAGAGTTTTGAGCAAAGATTCCTGTGTTTTCTTTTTAACTGTTAGTTCAACGTTCACTCATGCAATCATCCCTATGATATGGTACCTAATTGTAATTGAAAAAAGAAGATGAATTTGAATTCATGGAGCATGCTAGTGTTCTTGTGATTGATGGTTGAAAAAATAGACAGCTATTTTCTTCCTGTGGAATCTTGAACAACCCCAGTTGTGTAGTCATCCCTGTTCATTTCAAACATGCCCATCAATAATGCCAAAAAATCCATGATAATTTGATGACAGTTCTTAAGATAAGAAAATGAAAATGGGCTCACACAGACATGCCTGTAATTTATTTATTTTGCTTAGATAAGTTTCTAGTAAGTTCGTGGATTAAATGGGAGTACTAGTTCCTCAGTTGTAAGTACGTAACTATTAATTATCTTATATGATTAGTTTTTTTTTACATTATGACACGTAAACTTATGGAAAAGAAACGTTTATGCATCATCTCATCTATGTTCTCGCGAATAGCTTGTAATCTCGTGTTAACAACTCAGTAACTAGTGTTTGATAATGTCTATAACTGCGAGTTTCATGCTTCCTACAAAATGCACCATCATACAAATAACTAATATCATTTTGTTATCCTACTCTTATATGTAGCATTTATCTATATTTTTTCCCCTCGTATTTCTAATTGCTAACATGGACTATTTCTGCAGGCTATGAGAACTGCATTTATCCAACTTCTGGGTATGCTCTTTTCCCTCAGTTCTATTGCTTCTTTATTGTTCTCAATTTTCTTTCTCTAACTCTTTTTTTTTTGGTCTTTCAGTAGTAAATTGCGCACTGCAAATTCTACAATAGCTGCTCTTTCACCTATGCCACAGAGTGGCTCTCCTCCAACTCGAGCACTGGAGGCTCTGCTTCTTGTTTTGTGTCTTCTATTTGGTCTAGTCATACCCTAGGGTGTAATTTAGATGAGCTCGACGATTTGCCTAATTCAGTTCAAACTGTTTTTTGCTGAAGATGAAAAGATCAATGGGAAGTGAGGGGGTAGAAATGTGGAGATGAGGAAATTGTTGTTATTGTGTATATCTGTTGTAAGACACATTGGTGGTTTGAATGGCTTGAATGTAGATCTTTTTGCTGGTTTCTCTTATGACTTAATACTAGTTTCAGACCCGTGTGATGCATGGATTCATTTTGTATTGAGCTTTTAAATTTCTTAATATAGATGAATGTTACAATTCTTTAAAATTCTGTGTACCAAAAAATAAAAAAAGAAATCACAATTGTTAGTAACTTTCAACAAAAAGTTAGCAAAATGTATAGAGGTGACCATCCATTATTCATAAATAAATATATATAGTATTATTATATATTGTACAATTCAAAATAAATGTCATTTAAACTTGATATAGGCTTTAATTGTTACTGGTAAAATTTGTAAGGATTTTTTTTTGGGCAGGGAATTGATCAGCTCCGAATAAAACTCAAAACAAGTTTTTTTTTAACAGGACCAGCTTTTCAATTGAAGAATGTAATAAAATTCAAAATTTCAATTCAGCTGTGAGATTTTTTGGATGCCATTTGGAGTCATCACCATGGAGTCATCACAATGAGACATACATATAGACTCTCTATGTAGAAAAAGTTGACATGATTCCAAGAAAAAGGCAAACCGATATTATCTTTCTAATTATTGGACAGCAAAGATCCTCCCATAGCAAAAGTTTTGAGTAATTTTATTAGAGGATGAAAAACTATTATGAGAAAGGATGACGAGCATATGAGGCAGGAACCATGGTTTAGAATGAAGTTGGACATACTATAATGGAAGGTTATTGTGAATGAATTAGCAACTAACGTATTTATGTAAAAAAATTTTACTTCAAGAACAAAATATTTCATCCCGCTGGTTAAGAATTTGCACATGCAGATATCTTACTTATTATTTGGAAGAGAGCTCTGATTTTGCACATTTGTAATGTATCAATGTCCAAAAGAGAGTTCACTTTCATTCTTGATCTTCTACATATGTTTAAATATTGAGGATAATTTTTTGAAAGAATATAAATTATCTTTTACTTTTACCATATATGTTCATAAAATTCTATCTTATTTTTTGAACAAAGTTCGTAAAATCGAATTGATATTTTTTGACCATATAAAGCGAAAATTTAGTTATGAAAATTCAAAAGAAAAAAAAAAGTTCACACGCAACACATGTGCACTATACTAGTTTGTTAAAAATATGGATTGTGGTCCTAGCAATAAGAGGAATATATAAAATTAATAAAGCCAAAGTACCTTTTGCCACATCGGAGGCAACAAAACAGGACGACTGCTGAAAAATGGCATAACAAATTCAAAATCAACTGTAATTATTAGTAACCTTAATTATTAATAAGCTTTTTGATACTAGTTCATTGAGTCTTTTTTTCCTTTCTTTTTTGTTGACTAGTTCATGAAATCTTTAAAATTCATATTTAATCTTCCAAATCACATAAGCATCACAAATTTGTTCTTCTATCAATATTTCCACCCAATAAATTGTGAGACTAATATTAAAATATTGAATTTAAAAAAAAAGAAACATGCATCTTAAGACACAATCTAGAAACGATAATTTTCATTGTCTCTTTACCATAACAAGGAGATTTTACCCACCATCAATGATCCGGATGATTGAAAGGTTAAAAAAGAATATTTTTATTTTATTTTATTTATGTGATCTACATATATAAGTTTTAGGCTAAATAGCACCTACATAACCTATTATTTCATCCACTTTTCACTTATATGCCCCCACTTGTATTTGGTAGTAAAAAAATTCCTTATTCCCAAGTTTTTAGAACTTGCACATAAAGTGCTCTTGGGGGTTAGTCACCTAGAACTTAAAATTAGAACTGGGATAATATGTGGGATAAATTTTTAAGGTGTTAGTCACATAGAACTAAAACCAGAACAAAATTTTACAGTGTTAGTCAAGTAGAACTCTAATAAAACTAGAATTGGGATAATGGTACAAAATTATCCCACTTTTTTCATTTTTCTATACAAAAATGAGAGTTCTAGTCTCTCAAATTATTCCAAGTTTTAGCTTGTAACTAGGTGGTAAAAAACTAGAACTCATATTTATTTTGTTATTTTTTATATTTTTTTTATCTTTACTTCTTTCCTATTATGATTATCACCATTAGACCATCATAATAATAATAATTGTCAATATCTTATAGTCTAACGAAAAGTTATTTAATAGTAAAGAATATTATTGTAAGCAATTATAAATCAATAATAGTAAGTTTAAAATACATAAATAATATTTATATCTTCAAAATGTATAAATATATATTTCATGATTATAAAAATTTATCTCACGTTATTTTATCAAGATATCCCGTTTTATAAAATTGTTCCTATTTATCCCACTAAAATATCCCACTAGTAAAAAATTATTCCGTTTTAACAATTATCCCAATTAACATCAAAATATCTCAATTGACTAACACCCCCTTAGTAATGCAAACTTGAGGGTATTTAAGTATAAGTTTTAAAAATTTTAGAGCATGTAAGTGCCAAATTTAAAAACTTTAAGGTATTTAAATACATGTTTTAATAAGCTCCCATTTGATAGATGGTTAATGACTCAGAAAACTAGTATGTGATATTCATAAAACTTTAGAGCGTTTAAGAGCCGCCAAAAAAAAAAGAATATATGAATGCAAGTTTAAACAATTTTAGAATATTTTTTTTGCTACCAAATATAAAATGAAATATATAAGTGAGAAATAGGATGGTGTATGTAAGTGCCATTTCGCCTAAGCTTTACCAGGAGAACCTCTAACACCGTCCGATAAAAAGATCCAACGGCCAACATTCGACAACCACGTCACCCGTATCTCTCAGAACGGCATCTTCCGCTGACCCGCAGACGATGTAATTTCCCCTTTCTCTTCCGTTAGATATTAATCCTACGGCCCACATACTTCCATTGACGACGCAAAATGGGGCCCACTCGAAAAGTCTCGTTGTTTCTGGATTTCTAAATTCCAATTATAACTCGCGGTTCTCAAATTGTTCGCAACTTGTTCTCAGTTATTTACAGCAGCAGTATTTGATCGAAAAATTTCTTTACTGTGATCCTCGTTTCGCTGATCTCGTCTAAATTAATCGGAGTTCTCGATGTCGTCTCCTGGCGAGTAAGTCCGTTACTGATTCAGTTTTATTCTAGGGTTCAGTTTTATTCTAGGGTTTACTGATTTGTTGATAATTAGGTTCTAATGGTGGATTTTCAATGAAATTGAGGGAGATTTTGGAGAATCTTCTTTGATTGGTTGAGAATTGGTTTTATTTTGGTTCTTTCTAGGGTTTTGATGTAATTATTGGGATAATTTTGGACTTTACCGATCAAATATACCATAATAGAGAACTGTATATCATGAAATCGATCCTCAAAATCAGTGAATTTGTTTTACTTAGGATTAAGAGAATAATGTGATTATTATTTTGTTATTTTCTATTTGTTAAATATACAAAGGGAATATCCGAACGATTTGGTGGCGAAGCATCATTCATATTTGCGACTTTCAATTTGGCTAGAGCATTTGCGATATTGTATAATGCTCTTGTTGGGAATGATAAATTTAGAAATTTCCTCCGACCTATTTACCACGATATAACTGAAATGGGTCATACTTGGAGAAGTGGAAGCAGGAGATTGTGAGTCCATTTGGATATCATGTTGCATTTTTTGTGCCTCAAATTCTGTTTGAATCTGGCGGAGAACTGATTACCTACCATCTCTATACGCTGTCTCCTGATTGTTTCATCAAATCACACAATTATGACCCATCTCTCCACTTAATCAAGCCCTTTATCGCCTCTGTTAATTTTTTCAGTTATTTGATACTTTTCCATTGGTTAATTTAGTGACGAGTCTTCTTTGTGAAGCTGCTAGCAGTATTATGTATTCTTAGAGTCACATGGAAAAATTGTTAGGAAAATATAAGGGGAGCATTTGATGGACAAAAATGACTCAGAAATTCCTACTTTTGGGGTTAATTCTTCGCATCCAGATGCAATTGAAAATTCTGTTGTATTACTCTGGTGACTGATGTTATTAATACTTTAATAGTTATTTAGGTCTTTAACATAGGATACTTTGATGTTGCCTTCTGGTAGGGTTGAAAGAAAATGGAAATGGCATCTGTAAAAAGTAGTAGTTCATTTTCATCTAGCCATGTGATGTTACTCAATATTGTGTATCATCTGGTGCGAGGGGTGGGGTAGTCTCCTCTTGCAGTTGTTGCTTGGATATTGAATTCAATTACTATATATGCTAAACCAAATAAGGTCTCTTAGCTATTCTAGATGTTACTGAATATGGGCAAAATGAGGATTGGTTCAATCTTTGCTTTTGATTGCTTCTCGCATTAATGAAAGAAAGTCATATATAGTCAAACGGCAATGGGGTTTAATTTTTGTGTGTTAGGATGTATTATATATTTGAATATGTTCTATAGTTTCATGAAACTTAAGTTGCATTTGGTACTCAAAGCACAGTCCTTATTCTTGTCCATATTCTACACAAAATAATGTCATGTATCGAGCTTAACAGAATGCCAATATGGAATCAGGCTTACTACTCAGTTACTTTCTTGGACATTTAATCAATTTTAGTTTTTCTGCTATATGAGTCTATCTATTTGTTTTATCTTGACTTTGTTGTTTAGCTTGGTGTTCACAACGATTTTGTTAAATCTTTTCATGTATTTTCCCCCCTCAGGTATTATAATTCTCTTCCACCAGTAACTAAGGCCTATGGGACCTTGTGTTTTTTGACTACTGTTGTGTGTCAATTGGGACTACTTGATCCTATTAGCATTGCTCTATATTATCCATGGGTGTTTAAGAATCTCCAGGTACACATAATCATCTCATGTGTTGTCTCTTGCTGCCAATACTATTGTTTAAGAAGATACATTGACAGTGTAGAATTTTAGATTCTGAATTGAATAATCTATGGTATCTTTTTTATCTCTTTATTTCACAATACTTCTTATAGAGCTCTCGACAAATATGTATGAATATGCTTAGCCTTTTGAAATTCTTAGCATTCTTCTGGATAACTGCGTAACTGGTAAACATTGACCAAGTTGTTTTACCTTGTTTGTAGTCTAATTGATATATCTTCAACTATTCTGGAGCTTTGCTGAAACTAGTTTTCTGAAAAGTAATGTTTTCCCCCTTCAAAACTTAAAGTGATGCTATAAGAACGTGAGCCAATTATGGGCATGTTTATAATCACCTGCATCTAGGGGTGGATCCGTAAACTTGTATCTTAATCTAGATGATTTGGTTAGGCTATTCCCTGAGACTCATTTTGATAAAAATTCCAAAAGTGGTAAAGGTTCCAGAATGTGGTAAGAATATAGCCTAATAGGTATTGAGCTTTGCCTTAATAGGCAAAAGATCAAAATTTTTTGGAGGCAATGCCCGTGGAAGGACAAGTAGCTCCATCCCTGCCCACATCAGTTGATTATGTACTTTAGATATGCATGAACAATGCCTATGCACTTTGTTCCGTAAGTTTCAGAGTTAGGCTTCTCCGTCCGCATTGTTTTCTGATAAGCCTTGCCTATTAGGGAGATTGATCATTGGTGTGTTGTGCGATTAATGGGAAAAAACTCGTGTTTCCTGTCTTTCTATGTGTTAATGGAGATTGATAACCGGTGTCTGATCGTCAATTAATTAATTGATAATATAATATCAGTATATAAACAATGTCATGACCAAATATCAATCTAGTAACCTAACTCTATTACTACTTCATCCTAATAGGCCATGAACTAGATCAGAATCATTCTCAACGAATCCATAAGAAGTGATCCAATTTTTTTATTGGATCCGGATGAAGACTAAAGATCTTGAGCGACCGATCTGGTAGAACAACTCAAAATATAAAGAAGTATTGTTAATTTCTTCATGCTCGTTCCAAGTTTGAGGTACCGTTTGTACAAATAAGAATTCAAAATTTCATGTTCGGTTTTGAATTAGAGACGTTAAAAATAATCAATCAATGTCGGCTAGTTCCGGGCTCCATTTGCAAGTTTCTGCTCTTACACAAGCAAAGCTCTCTTACTTTGTCTTGCTTTCTCCCTAGAAACAAAACAAACAAAGTAAAAAGTAATGGAACCAAGGTTGAAAGATTGAGAATGTTAATATTCTTTTCCCTTATGAAGGATTCCTCAAAAAGTTAATATTCTTTTACCTGGCGCAGCTGGGCCATCCTGGACTTGAACCAGAGACCTCGCCCATGAAGTAAATCATCGCACCTATGATCCAACCAATTGGGAGAGAATCAATAGATTCTGATTTTTTTATTCTTCAAAATTATTGTCTTTGTTGTTCTTAGCTCAGAAAGAATTGGTGTGTTACAAGGTCAAAATTTTCTGTTCCCATCCATTCATCACCTAAAGATGGTCAGAGGGACACCAAAAATGTGGTTTAAACACATGATCAACTTACTGTTGCATTATTCCTTTTGACAAATGGCTTTTTCAGACTAATTTTGAACTTTAAAAGGTTTCCCCCTAGAAAAACGGCTTAAAATAGGATAATTATACAAAAACCACCTTGAATGGCAATTTATATAAAAATTCACTTTCAAGACACATGAGTCATTTTTTGAGTCATTTTTTAATGTTTAGATTACCTTGAACGTGAATTCTTTATGTTAATTTTTGGTTTTTAGTGAAAATTTGATCGGGAGGTGGTTGATTGAAACATAGACCGACATTAAATATGATTTATGTATAAATTAGCATTCAAAGATGTTTCCGTGTAATTACCCTTTTTTATGGTGGTCTCTAGGAGAAAAACCAACTTTAAAATAATGTTTTTTGGTACCTGGCTTCAGACCATGGAAGAAAGTATTCATTAAATCTGAGTTTTGGTCAGTTTCAGTAAGTGATTTAAACACATGATCAATTTACCGTTGCTTTGTTTCTTTTCGTAAATGTTTTTTTTAGACTAGTTGGATTTTAAAGGTCATGTTTCTTGATACACTAGTTCAGACCAAGAGTGAGGTATTAATTAAAATTACTGGTTTTGTTTAGTGTCGATACATGAATCGGACTCATGGTATATGAACTTGAATTTGGCTGGTATTAGCGGGTATTGGCCAAATTTTGGCGATCTGCTGTATTTTTAGCTCGTGTAGGCCATGTCTAGACCAATTTCAGCATTATTCCAATCTGTTTCATCCTTATTGCGACTGGTTTCATCCAGTACCTGCCAATTTGGCTGACACCAAAACTTGTCTCAAAGGCGAAGGAAAGAGAACTTTTAACAATCAATAATTCTTCCCACATTATTAAAGGAAATTTGCATGTACTTATATTTTATATATAATTATACACGTAAAGATATATATTGTGTGTATTTGCATATATAAGCATGCATGGGAAGGGGGGAAGGTAGTCGTGTTTTGTTTTTTGGGAATTACTGGAAGAACCTTCTCTTTTTTATTCAATTATAGGAAACCGCTTCATTTAAGTTGATCAACATCCTTTGTTAAAGCATATACGTGTAAATGTTTGTCAGTTTGTCAATTTATGTGTTCGTACAGGTACATGTGTATGTGCTCAGTGCAATCTAAAAGGAACTGGTTTTGGTCTGTAGTTTATACATCACATATTTTTGCCTTAGTCTGCCTTCTATTTAATGCTAAATGCATTTTTTTACAAGGAAGTCATATGAGGAATTATAAATTTCAATTCTTCTCAATTTATTGATAGGTTTGGAGGTTATTCACATGCTTTTTCTTCTTGGGAAATTTTTCTATCAACTTTGGAATTCGTCTTCTCATGATGTAAGAATTTTTCCTACAAATTTTTTTGTCCTCTTAATCTATTGATTGGAAAAGTTTATGGGATCATATTACAAATTAATAGTATGGAATAATTAATTCATCCAGAGCAAGATATGGGGTGCAGCTGGAGAAAGGCCCATTTGACAAGCGGACAGCAGACTTTTTGTGGATGATGATATTTGGAGCATTCTCTTTACTGGTCAGTCAGTACTCTTTATGTATTGGTATTATTAATTTGAACTAATGGTAATGCTCACGAGCGTGCTAAGACGCTCAATATATAGAGTTAAATTTGTTCTTGACCTTTCTTTTAATCCTTGATCTTATATGATAAAAACTGTTTGAATGGATGGCAATGAAATGTATTCATAGAAATATATTTAAAGCTCGCCCAAGTGTATTATTTAAGTGGACAAATGTAAATAGGAATTTGTCAAATTATAACTTTTGTTTAACTTCAAAGTGCTTATTAGCACAAAAAAGTTGTTCAAACTAGCAATTTATGATGTTAAGAGGGTTTCTAAGGGCATTCAATGTCATAATCAACGAACTAGTTGACATGGAAGTCGGCTTTTTTTGGTTACTCGTGAATGTTAAAGTAGTCGAACAGGCATGCTCACTTCTTAATATTTGTTATACTTCCTACATCTTAGGTGCTGTCTGTCATCCCTTTTTTTTCGAGTGGATTCTTAGGGATATCCTTGGTCTTCATGATGCTTTATGTATGGAGCAGAGAATATCCCAATGCTCAGATCAACATATATGGACTTGTCAGTTTGAAGGTACTTAAGCTAACTCTTATCTTCTATTTCCCCTGAAGTTAACACTGAAGCTTTATTAGTCTTATATCTGTGACTTAAACCTTATTTTTCTTACCCCCAGGCGTTTTATCTGCCTTGGGCAATGCTTGCAATGGATGTTATCTTTGGTTCGCGTCTGGGTCCTGATCTTATGGGAATCATCGCTGGACATCTCTATTACTTCTTGACTGTTCTGTACCCACTTTCTGGAGGAAGGAATCTTCTGAAGACTCCAATCTGGGTGTATCCTTTTTTACATTTTAATTTATTTAATTTAATGAGCATCCAGTAACTTTTATATTTTATCTAGTAGATATGGTACTTGTGCGCCCTTAAGACTGTTATCCACTTTAACCACAATAATAACAACAAAGCCTCTACCCCAAATTTTTGGGATTGGCTACATAAATCTTGTTCTTTCGTCTATTGCTATTGTGGGTCATATTCTCTGTTAACTTTTGTATATCCTGCTTATCCATTACGATGTGAAATTTTTTTGAAAAGCCACTAGAGTCCAGGGCTCTTGCCTTGGTGAAAGACTAACCATGTTGAATCAGTAAATTTTTGCCCATCTTTATGCTCATTCTGAAATTTAATGGTTCAAATTCTCGTAGTTTGGAGTGCAAGCTTGATAATAACTGAAGTTTTAGTATAAGAAATAGCCTTTCCCTGCCTTGGGTGACTTGGGCTTTGGAGGATAGTTTCCTGGAGGGTAAGCATCCATTTAAGATTGCCATCATTTTAGTGTCAGTTTTGTTTTGCATGTCTAAGTAAGTCTATGTCAAACCCTCAGAAGTTCATAATAAAATTGTCTTCTGCCTGATTTCCTTGACCATATTATTACAGTCACAAGTTGGTGGCTCGCTGGGGAGTGGGAGTGCAGACAAACGCCCCTATTCGGCCTAACACTGCTGCATCTACCGGTGCCTTCAGAGGCAGGAGCTACAGACTCAACAGATGAAACAAGCTAAACAATCTGCAGTGATATCTCACAATAAGCTGCTTCTCTTGATTTGGCTGATATTTGTTGCATGCAGATTTTCTTCGATAAATGAAATGAAGGAATGGAGTCTGTATTTACTCTTTGTTCAAATTTGATGGTTTTGCGGTTAAGAAGAATCGTACCTGAAGGAGTCTAAACATGATAGGGATTACATAGGCTGCTTGTATAATCATGCCAGGTACATTTGCGTTGTAGCTTATAGAACTTAGAGATTACTGGTTCTCACCAAAATTTTTTTTATATCAATGATCAATTTCTTTTCGCATCCTAGTTATGTATCAATTTAAAATGTAACCAAGATTCTTGTCCATGATATTTGGTTAGCACTTATGTATCATTCTAATGCATGTTGTATAATGACTCTTATTTCTCTTGCTAATATATCTTTACATATAGCAATGCCAATGCAATATTTTTTTTCTCCGTAAGTATCGTGAGCTATATTTGTAGGAGATGATTATACTCTGCAAGTAATGGACTCTGTCTTTGTAAATAATATTTGCATCCCCTTTAGCGGCTGCTGCTGCTGCTGATTGTTTGTCATTTTGATTGAAGATGTTTCAAATCCTGCCATGTGATTCTGTTGGAGCTGGAAGCTTAGATAGAAACCTGTAAAGCTGAAGTTTGAACTGTCAAAAGAGGGTTTACGCTCTGTAAACAATGTGCACCAATTCTCTTTAACTCCAGACGGTATTACTAGGTGCTTACCTTTAACTATGCACTGTTTAATTGTAAGGTAAACACTATGATGTTTCGGATGTATGTCATTGCAAATTCTTGTATTATCTCTGTTCTTGTTTAGTTATTAGAAGTCAAAGCTCAGAAATGAGCCGCTTAATCTGTGTTTTTTTCCTGTAGAATATAGCTTTCAAGCTGTTGGGCGACTCAAGCCGTCTGTCAATGTAAAAATTACAGAATCATATGAGTCCTATTTTATTTTCGGGTTTTCACCTCCAAGAAATCACCTTTAAAATATGGTTATTTTACAAAAACCACCTTTAAGTTTTAATTAACACATAAACCACCTTTAAAAAAAATTTGGTGCAATTAACCTCCTCCTAGTCAAAATTTCCCTAAAAAACCAAAAACTTGAAAAACTCACGTTCAAGACACGTGATTTGTATGTTAACGTGATCTAAACACTAATTGAATCTGTATGTTAACGTGATCTAAACACTAATTGAATCATATGCTCCGAATGTGAGTTTTAGGGGTCTTTTTGGATTTTTAGTGAAAATCTTGAATGAGAGGTGGATAATTGCTAAATTTAAGGGTATTTTCGGGTTTTTATTCTTTTGAATCGTGCGAGTCGTAAGCTCTTGTTACTTTATTTTCATGCTATATGCACAACTACTGTGTTGGTAGACATGATTATCGAAACGAAATTAATGTGTTAGTTGAAGATTATGAAAGTTGCGAGATCCAGCAAGGCTGGAAAATGACCCACGCTCATCATGAGCATTCTCCATATATTAGTCTTCGAGGCTTTAGTTGGCCGACAAAACAGCCTAACATTTGCCAACTGATGGCTAATTATCATATGTGACTGTAATGCTGTTGCTCGAACTTAGATGGCAGCCCATGTAATGGGGCCAGAGCGTCTCATTTCTCAGCAATCGATGATCTTATCAATAGGTTCTTCTCAATAAAAAAAACTTTATTTTTTTATCTTACATTTTGAACGTTTCATAACCGAATCGCTTGTTGTTTTCTATATGGCAAGAGATTTTTCTACAAAAGCAAAATGTTTTTTTTTTTGGTCACTTCAACTGTCCTGTAACTTGCGTCCTTCATAAATGGCTAATTATCGACTAAATGACACTTAAATATCCTATTGTTTTCCTAGTTCCACACTTAAAGTATCCTTGTAGTTGTAAAACATAGCACTTAAATATCCTCCCTTGTCAACCGTTAGAATGTTGTAAACGGTGTTAGAAAAAGTCAGTTACGACAAAAATATTCCTATGTGTAACAGTTTAATAAAAAGGAGGGTAAATAATGGAGTGATTCCAACAATGAAGTGGTCAAAATAATTCTAAATATGATATGTGTCAATCACATGAGAACATTTTCTGGAATATTCTTACTTCAACTAACATAAATTATTAACATGCCAAATTTAGACAACCTAAGGTATTTAAGTGCTATATTTAAGTGTTATATTTTACAAGTTAGGATATTTAAGTATAAAGGTGGTGAACAATAAGATCCTTAGGTGCCATTTAGTCTTTATAAATTATAATTAGCTACGGTATGGGGTTTTCAGGTATCTTCTATTATCTTCCAAAATTTTTATTATAGAAAGTAGTAAAGTAACCAAAATGAAATATTTTCAGTTTAAGTTATATCTTCTATTTTTTAATTATCATTTAATAGTCTATTTTCTCATGATGATAGTCTTTTTAGTACTAGTTCATCACATAAAATTTAACTATTGTTTTTATTAATTCATGATGTAATTTGGAGCCAAATCCACGGGCTAAACTGCAACGGAACAAAAATTACCTCCACATTTGAAGGCGGACTTGCAGGCCAACTTATTCAATCGGGCTCAATGAGTGGTAGAGGGTCATCTGAGATCCGCTCCTCTCTATATATATCCCCGCTTCTCGATCCGAAATTTGAAGACCCCGGCTCTTTCATTCGAAGAAACGAGCTAAACCTTGAAAAGAAAAGAAAAACAACAACAAAAATACTTTCACATTTCTATCGAAAATGTCGTGGCAAAATTACATCGATGAACACCTCATGGCCAACATCGACGGCCAGTACCTGACCTCGTCGGCGATCGTAGGCCTCGACGGTAGCGTCTGGGCTCAGAGCGCCAACTTTCCTCAGGTCCGATCGATCTCTTTCTATCTCGATCGACCTCGATCTTGATTTGTTTCGTTTGTGTGATCTCTTTTGGTTCTTGATCTTGGACGCGATCGGCATCTGGATCAACATCGAAAGATCGATCTGATGATTTTTTTTATTATTATATGCGATTTAGTTTGGGTATTCTTGTTGCATGAGATGTATCCGATTGATTGTCTAGGGTTTTTAATGTGGTTGACTTTGAGATAAGCTAAGGTTGATTCAGATCGCGATGAACTTACTTTGAATATCAACACTCCGATAAAATGTAGTTTGTTGCTGAGATCGTATTTCCTTCTAGTTTTGTTAATCAAGTAGATCTACTTCTTTCTCATCTTATTTTAATGGTGTTAAATTGTAAGTTTTGTTGTGTTGAGGTGTGCCATGAATGCTTGGATCTAGTTATTTGAAATATTTACATCCATTATATGAAAGTGAAAAAAAAAAAATTCAATGACAATAGAAAAAACAGAATGCGTTGTGTATGTGGTGTTGTGGGCAAATCATTCTACTTGTGCTAGTAATTATGTTCAAATATAAATGTGATGCATTATTATAAAATATAGTGTTTATTTGAAATATAGAAGTGATGGATCATAGTTTATTGAGCAATTGGGAGTGGAGTGGGCCCAAAAGAACATTTGGATATAGACTATTACTAGAGGAGCTCCATGGAAAATGATCCATTTACTGACCCTAAAAATTTTTATGATCCATTTACTTGGGTTGTCATCAAGCCAATTTTAGCTGACCTGCTGAAGGCCAGAAATTTTTAGAATTATATCCTCTTTTACTTTTATTATTTCCTTTGTTCTTCGCCATATGTGCTTTCCTGGACCATTGACCTTGTCCTTGGTTTAGAAAGATTTTAACCAATTTCACTGACATAACTTCTCTGTGATGGATATCATGCCAAATGATTTCAGTACATATATGATGGTGTGTAACTACACTATGGGATAATTCCTCGGTCATTGATTTTAACAATTTCAAGGACATAAGTCATTAGGGTCAAGGATATTATGCCAAACGGTTTCTAACTAGTGCCACTAATTGCATAAGAGACTCTTAGAAGAATTAGCATGAGTAGGCGAAACAGTTTGAATGACGTGCGCCATATTACCATAATGTTACAGTCAGGAAGGTTCTAGGGTCTTTCTGTTTCTAATCCAGGAAGGAAACATCTCTAAGTGATAGTCAATGTCTAGGTTTTCCCCCCTGAAACCTAGATATATAGCTTTTCCTGGTGAAGCTCAATCAAAGTTTTGAGTTATTGAAACCCACAATTGCACTGACACCTTGTTTTCATGATTGGGATGGCAATTCTTTGGATTTATGGTTTTTACCTATGCTCCTCCATGTAAAAATTCTTAGGATTGGTATAAATTTTGTGCAGATGTCACATTAAATCCAATCGAGTGTTACTGCTTTTTGACAAAGTATCATAACCATGAAATCTCCTGCAGATTAGACAAGGGAGGTCTGTCATTCCTTTCCTAATCCAAAGGATTGGCTTTGGACCACTTTTATAATCCTTGGGATTTTGCTTAGAACTGATATCCAGCTCATCACATCAGATTTCAAATATCAGTTGGAAAAATAAAATCTAAGTACAGAATATGCAGGGTTGGATGTATCCAAAACATATCCATAATCCTGTATGAACTAAAGTTGATTTATTTTTATTTTTTATTTTATTTAATTTTTTTTACATGAGATTCATATTGATAGCAATTTGTGTTGAAAATTAACTTAGCGGGAAATAGGTCACAGGGGTTTACTGCTTGCTGTGTTTTGCCACTAGAAATTCCCATGTGGAAACACAGATTCCAGTTAAGATCACACATGATGCCTTTAAGTGCTTGTTCTATAGAAGTAATTCAATTGTGGAAGTGGGTTCAAAAGTAAGCAGTCAGGTTCAATTTTTATTATAACCCGAGAATTAATCTCTTACCTCCCTATTCACAGAACAAAAACTATCTCTGCCCCCTCACCTCCCTTAAAACACTGTCAGCATAATACATCCAAGTTGCTTTAAAGTGCTACTCAGAATTTATATCATCTACTTAATAGTGAACGTACGCTCATTGTAAGTTTGTAAGCTCTTACAATTTTTCGTTGGCAGTGCAAAATATTCACTTTTAACATTTGATTTCCTATGTTGCATTGGTACTTTTATCATGAAGTTACACCCATGCCCGAGACATTGTACCTGTACCTGACACCAACACTCTTTGGGCACTTCTTGGATATATGTATACATTTATTTGGACACGTAAACAAATATTTAATATATGTTTTAATTTAAAGCACTGGTCATACACTAATTGGGCGTATATCCTACACTTTATATCCACTTCTTGAAACTGTTGGAGATTGGTCAGATATGTTTCAGCCCATATCCAATTGAGAACTATGTTTTTAAAGGCCTTTTGGTATAATATTCAAAAGGATCGGTTTTCTAATTCATAATCTACATAATAAAAGATACGAAACAAATGTGTTCAGAACTTAATTCTTATAACATGTGAATGGAAAAAATGATATTGAATCTCATGTAAATTATTGTAGATAGATTAGCCATGTCCCTGAACCCTACCTTTTACAATTCTACTGTGTCCCATAACCGCACCCTCACCGCACCAGTGTCTGTGTAACTTTGGGCTTCACTTGATAATTCACACCCAGCTTTTCTGTAGTGAAAGTCAGCTTGAAATCAATTTTGCTTAATTTAAAGAAACATGTATTAGTCAAGAAATGCTTTTGATGTGCTATCACAGTGACAACCTTAAGAGGTTTAGCTTGATAAAAGACACCTTTTTGGACAAGCGTTTATATTTAGGAATTGGAAGCTGAAAAGCCTGGGCTTAACTGCGAACATGTTTTATTTGTTTTTTGATTATTTTGTGCCTTTGATTCCGATTTGAATGCATTACCTCATTACAAAACCTATTTCTTCTTCTAAATCTATGAGAGTTTTGGTTGTTTTTATTTTGGTGATAAGCTTAAAGATGCGTGATGAACTCTGCTAGCCTCTATTACCCAAGGATTTTGGGCAAGACATTTTGATCTCTATATTTTATTGAGGAATTTGGCACCAGCTTAGATGGTCGATATAAGACTGGATAAATTTGGCAGCTTTTATATGGAACATTAGAGCCCATCTTCGTTGTGTTCTTGTTGGTTTTTTAGTAGCACTTACATTTATTTTGTTTTAGTTGGCCTTCTCCACTCATGCACATTTGATATTTGATATGGTTCTCCAATTATTTATTTATTAGTATATAGTATTAATTCTCTTTGTGTATGTGCAGTTTAAACCTGAGGAGATCACTGGCATTGTTAATGATTTTAATGAACCGGGTTCCCTTGCTCCCACTGGTTTATTTCTTGGGGGTGTAAAGTACATGGTAATCCAAGGAGAACCTGGAGCTGTTATTCGTGGAAAGAAGGTGATCATGTTTTGTTTCTTCTAGTTTCTGTGTTTTCTTGCACGGCCATACTGCTTTATCACTTGCTTTCTGAAATTTACTTGAACTTTGAAGTTGAACATCAATTATTTTTGAAGTAAGCAACTTTTTTTTGCTATCACTTTGAAACACACGCTATATTGAAGTTGAAAGCTATAAATGTGATCAGTAACCTATGTTGAAAAGAGATTTTTATATACAGTGCAAATAGGAGACAGATAACCAGCTATATTGTTGACCCTTTCATCTTACCCTCTTCTTTAGTTGTCATAAGCTGTACCATTTTGCGGTTATGCTTTCTTGCCCATTTTAGATCTAGCTTAATGTTGCAAGCAAGCTCCCTTCCTCTGCTTGCTAAAATTTCGCTTTCATTTCAGTTTTTCTTATTTAATCAATATCAATGTTTCTCTTCTCTTAGTTCTCCCAGTTAGTTCAATCTCATATATTTTTCGACCGGACCGAGAGATATAACTATATTCAGCATGTAATGATCTTGTTTGCTAGGGAAGTTCTGTATAGAAAAGCTTAGGAATAGTTTCTGTATATCACTCTAATGTTGTAGTTGTACCTGCTCCTTCACATTTTTACTACTTCCTCTCTTTGAGCAAGCAAGTTCTTTCATTTGTTGAATCAGTTCGTTTTGCTCTGGTGGGGTTTCTGTGTTTCGCTTCTAGTTTTTCAATGTAGTTTACATTTTCGTAATTACTACCATTCTGAATTATGTGTTTATTCTCCTTACTGAATTTAGCATGATGAAACCTGCGTGTGGTTTGCTTATCTATCTTTGCAGTTAGCTTGTTGACATCCACCAAACTAATGTACAAACACTTCTTTTGTGCCCTCCTTTTCTTTCTTAATAATCCCTATTGATCCTCTTCCTGCCATATTTATTCTTCTGTGAGTGTGGAGGCTCTACATTATTAGCTTAACTTTTCAGAATTGATAGAACTTGAGTATAAATTTTATCTAATCCCCCTGAACTTTGGAGTGTCTCACTTAACCTCCTGAACTTTGGTGAAATGGCCAGATTACCTTTTGAAATAACACGAGCAAATGGATGAATTTTAATAATTGGGCATCATTTTCGTCTTTTAACCTCACATGCTTGGCGTATGACCTCTCAAAATTCTAGGTGTTACTTTGCGGGGAGGGGGTTAAGTAAGACAAGTTCAGGTGCTTAAGTGGAGTAAACAAAGTTCATGGGGTAATGTGCAAAATCCGCCAAAGTTCGGGAGGTTAAATGAAACATACCCTAAAATTTTCAACCGTAAGTTCATAGCAGTGTTACTGTGCATGTCTAGCTTTTGAAGAATTACCTACATTTCTGTTTATCTTACAGGGATCAGGTGGCATCACTATAAAGAAAACCAACCAGGCCCTTATATTTGGCATATATGATGAGCCAATGACTCCAGGCCAATGCAACATGGTTGTAGAGAGGATGGGCGATTATCTCGTTGAGCAGGGCCTGTAATGCTTTCAGCGCCCCAAATCCCTATCTTTTTTCCTCATTGGGATGTAGTAGTGATCTTGCCCCCTTTCCCCCTTCCCCAGTTTTGAGCATTGCATATTTCCATGAGCATGGACTGGTATTGTTCTGCATTTTGTTTTGGGCAATAATCTTGTGGACATATCGGGTTGGTGTCTTTGGGTTTGGTTTTCATATCCTTTTGTGTTTTTTGAAGAATCATGCGCTTTCCTTTGCCATGTTTGTTACCAACAGATTTGCATATGTCAAAGATTTTTAAAGAAGTGCTTATTCTTTAGTACTCTGTGGAATGCTTTCTTTGTTTTTATCAGTTAATGTGTGGCGGTAGTATGTCTGTGATGCTGTATTTTCTAAAGGTTGAGTTTGTGGATGAATGACTTCGGCTGCAATGGAAAACAAAGAACCTCCATATTGCTTGGGGCAGTTACTGCTCGATTTTTCGACTCCACATAATTGTTGGCAATACTGGAGCCCTACAGCAAAATTACGGGCATTTGCAATTTGCAACATACATTGAAGCTCCTAAACATGGCAACCTAATGAAAAGCACAGCTGATTTGAGGATTAATTAAGTTATCTTGGTTCTACTGCTGTCAGTCAACTGGGATAACAGCAGTCACTTTCTATTATTTTGGTTGTGGTGCTCAGGTTTTTATAAAACAAGCATTTTTTGATTTGTTGCAGTTTGCATGCTTTATCTGCTCACTGTGCTCTTATTCATTTCTTTGGAGTTGTGTCAGCCTCCATTCTACAGGTTCTGCAGTTGCTGATTTTTCGCATCTGGTCTCTAATTTTTCGAATCCTTTTCGCTAAAAAGAACCACGTAAACATCATTGAGGTGCCATTTATTTGTCGCTTGATCTGGAAAATCTGATCTAATCCAGAAGTGCAGTCCAAAAATTCATGATCAGAAACATATGCAGAATCATTGCCGCTGCTGATGAGAAATTGAATTGAGAAGCAGATAGGCCGTCATCTCATGAAAGCCTGTTAACTGGGTGTAGGTCTCTCTATGGTCTTAGTATAAGCATGGACTCCTGGAATTTGCTGAGTTTATGATAGTGTTGTTCCAGTAATGGAGTTCATATAGGGCCCGAAATTTTTGCCTAGCAGTATTTTTATCATTTAGAGAGCTACTATGATCTTCTTCAGTGTTTGAAAAAGCCGCGCACGCGTCTCTGTGCAAATTTGAGCAGTCGGTGATTGCGACGATTTAATGTTCTATTACTGATTTTGTGTCGTATGTATTGATTTAAAGTTGATGGTGAGATAGGCATAACCTTCTCCTCTCTTCGTATGATAGTCCATCAAGCGCCCCTCTCTATATGATCTTTTCCTGAGGTGGTTGCCGAGGCGAGTTTGGGTTATGCCAGATCACGTCGTAAAAAGATCACATGTCGGAATCAGATTAAGACGTTAAAGAAAAAAAAAACGTAGAAGCACCAACTCGAAGAGGATCCAGATGGACAGGGTTGGATTTCAATTTAGGGCCCGTTTGGATAATGGAAGTACTAGAAGTAAGAAATAGGTTATAGAAGTAACTTTCAAAGTTATAAAGTAGGAAGTAGTGGAAATAGCTTTTTTTTGTTTGTTTCATATATTTTTAGAAGTAATGGAAGTAGAACTTCTTCCTTTTCATTTACTTTTTTTGTTTGGATAACATTTGAAAATATTATTAGGAAGTAATTTTATCAATGAAAAGTTGTTAGAAGTAACTAATAAATGAAATATTAATAAAAAAATTTATTTATGTCATAATTAATATGCATTTCAACTACTTCCGAACTACTTCTGAGTATTGAGGATTGGAAAAATATTTTGAAAGTAAAGATGACACGTAGGCGCCACATAAGCATTTAGGGAAGTATTGGAAGTAAATTTTTCAGAGAACCAAACATATTTTTTTGCTTGGAAGTAGCAGAAGTAGCCTCTACTTTTTTTACTTCAGCTACTTCACAATTACTTCCGTGCAAACAAACATGCTCTTAGCGGAGGACTTGAGAATTCCTCAGGACGTGATAGGAAAAGGGTCTGCTATCTGTCTCTGCCTGTAAAGGGCAGTCAGTGGTTGAAGAAGATTCTCAGAGGACGCGAGCTGGTGGTGTGAACGACTCCAGTTCTGTACTATCATTCAATAGGAATACGAATATTTTTTTTAAAGAAGTCTTTGCTTGTAGCTATTTAAAGGGATTAGAGATCTTGCTTGCATCATGAAAAGAGAGCTGCCAAAAAAGTTGATGCCTAGAGCTACCTATTATGCGTGGGCCCCTGGCGATTGGCAAAAGTCCACATGATCTCCAATTATGGCCCGATGACGGCAGCTAATCACACTTTACCTTAATGATGCGTCTAGTTTGGACTCGATCTTGTATTTCAGCAGTTTGGTATATATGGACGTACAACACGATGTAGCAACTTACAGCAAAATTTGTGACAAATCCGGCTACTTGGAGCAAAATATGGCAACTCACGACAAAATTGTATGATACACCAAACTAAATATCCGATTTAAAATTTATTCCATACTAAAAATTATTCCTCTTCTATCAAAAATGTTCTAGCTGACTAACATCTCTTTAGGGGGTGTTTGGTTTAATTTCCATAAAAAAGAGTAAAAAGGAAAACACCACAAAAGTAGATTTCCTTGTATTTTTATAAAAAATTATAGAAAAGTTTTGAGAACTCAAAAGTTCCAATTTTCTTATGTATTGTATTTTCTTTGTTTCTTTCAAAATAAGAAAATGGACCAATTACTTTATAGAAATAGCAAGTATTACTTTTCTTTTGTTTGGTTGCATATGAAAAATTTATGGAAAACTTTTGCTAATCTTATTCCTCACTTACAATGGCTAGTTTAACGACTCTTTTAATGGCTAGTTTGATATTCTTAAATCTTATAAAATCCTTCTATTCTCTACTATCATTGAACATAAAATTTGCAAAGTTGAATAAAATGAGTAAGAATGTTAGATCTTGGTGAATCTTCAAGTGCATCAAATTCAAGTGTAAGTATTTCATTTTAAAAAATACAAATTTTTCTACTATTTTCCAATTGAAAAATTATTTGGTTTTTTATTTTTTGTAATCAACGTGCAAGGAAACTACTGCAGAAACAAACATATGAGGAATTTTTTTTCACATACAGATGAAGATCGAGAGCGTGATGAGATGTGGGATATAATAGAAGAAGCAGAAATAATACTAAGAGCTAATGCTTTGAAAGTTGGAGACCGATTTGGGCAATGGAAGTGTCCCTATTGTAACGATATCTCCTACACAAATTGGAACATGAATGATCTCTTAACTCATGCGCACGATGTTGGTTACGATGCAACTGTGGTCAATATGGGTAAGGAGGAGATTGGTCAGCATTGTGGACTGGAAGTTTATTTACAATGGCTAGATAGAAATCAATGATCTTAAAAATCTTGTACAACTTGCGTATTTTCATGGTCTACATTGATATTTTCATGTACTAAGTTGGCTCAGCTATTGGTCTTTTGTCATAATCGATTGCCTCAACTGAAACTTACAAGTTCAACATAGATTGCGTTCTAATAACATATAAATGAATGCCTTATCTTATTATGAATATCGTAAAGTAGTTTGCAATCTTATTTAGTTGACCATCATCATTGCCAATATATGTAGAGAGCTAAATGAGCTCCAAAATCAGTCTACCAAAAAGAAAATAGCATCAACAGCTCGACAATGGGCGCAAATCAAACCTGAGAATGTAGAATAGAGAGCTAAACAAGCTCTAAAATCAGTCCAATAAAAAAAACAACACCAACAGCTTAACAATGAGCACAAAATATATCCGAGAATGTAGAATAGAGACCTAAACAAGCTCTAAAATCAATCCAACCAAAAGAAAACAACACCAACATGTCGACAATGAGCACAAAATATACCTAAGAATGTAGAATAGAGAGCTAAACAAGCTCTAAAATCAGTCTAACCAAAAGAAAATAGCACCAACAGCTCGACAATGAGGACAAATCAACCATTAGAATGTAGAATAGAGAGCTAAACAAGCTCTAAAATTAGTCCAACCAAAAGAAAATAGCACCAACAACTCGACAATGAGTGCAAATCAACCATGAGAATGTAGAATAGAGACCTAAACAAGCTCTAAAATTAGTCCAATCAAAAGAAAATAGCACCAAAATCTCAACAATGAGCACAAAATATGATAGAGAATGTAGAATAGAGAGCTAAACAAGCTTTAAAATCAGTCCAATAAAAAGAAAACAACACCAACAGCTCGACAATGAGCGCAAACCAACCATGAGAATGTAGAATAGAGAGCTAAACAAGCTCTAAAACCAGTTCACCTAAAAGAAAACAACACCAGCAGCTCGACAATGAGCGCAAATCAACCATGAGAATGTAGAATAGAGACTTAAACAAGCTCTAAAACCAATCCAACCAAAAGAAAATAGCACCAACAGCTCAACAATGAGCGCAAATCAACTATGAATATGTGGAATAGAGAGGTAACAAGCTCTAAAATTAGTCCAACCAAAAGAAAACAACACCAACAGCTCGACAATGAGCGCAAATTAACCATGAATATGTGGAATAGAGAGCTAAACAAGCTCTAAAATCAGTCCAACCAAAAGAAAGCAGCACTAACAGCCATGAATACTTATTAGGGCTTAGGATAGAAGTAGATTTGTCATAAAAGATTGTCTCACCTATAAATTTATGATGCGATGTAGGCTGCTTTTTTGAGGGATTGCCACACCCAAACATTATAATATCAATATAGGTTGCATTCTACACAAAATTGCCTCGCCTAAATATTACATAATAAATATAGGTTGCATTCTCAGTTTATTATCATCATCATTACCCCACCTAAACAAAAATGAATGAAAAGAACCCATACCAGAATTGAGTACCCAAAAAAGCCATCTGTCATTAAGGTCAAACCAAGCATTATATAGCACAAGAAGCCAACAACCATTAGCTCAATCTAAGCACAAATAGCCAACAACAATAATTAGCAAGATGAATATAACCAACAACGAATATAACCAACAACTACAATTAACAACATGAGTTGCAACATCTAAAGTTTGTAATTAGCAACATATAAGTTTGTGTAGGATTTAAGAATTAGCAACATGAATGACAACATCTAAAGTTTGCAATTAACAACATATAAGTTTGTGTGGGGATTTTGTGAATAGCAACATGAATGTAAAGTATATGAAAATAATGTGAAGTAGCAAAATGGAGTGTTGTGTACACAAAATAACAAAACCCAAATCATGTATCACATCCTTGAGCCGCTGCAAG